ACAACCACACCAACAGAAACGCTTAGAGTCAGAGAAGTCTAAGTCAGAGACTTAGAGTTATGCCTGTGGGTGCTATCCGTGCATGGTCACATATTCATGTGTGTATATGCATACATGTAGGGTTGTGCAGGTGTGTTCACACGTGTGGGTGTGTATACACATGTGTAAGTGGGTATGTGTGCCTATATGTATACATGTGTTCCACATGTGAGTGTGTGTACTTTTGTGTGTGCACATGTGCATATAGGTAGGTACATACACACATTAAGCATCCAAGTTCTCAGAGTCAAACTGACTAGATTCAAATCCCAACTCAGCAATAAATTGGGTAGCTTTTGCAGGTCCTATTCCTTCCCTGGTAAAGGTGTGGTGAAAGCACCAATCACAGGAGGCTCTATAAGGATTAAACGAGAGAAACCACGTAATATGCTGAGATAGTACCCACCTACAGAAAATGCTAGAATAGCTCCTAGTGATACCCTAATCACACCATTACTACACTGTGTTTAACTTCGCTTTCTGTTGAGGAGGGTAATATCCAGCTGTGCTCAGGGTTTACTCCTAGCTCTGTGCTAAGGACCACTCCTGGCAGGACTTGGGGGACCATATGGGATTTCAGGGATCAAACCTGTGTTGGCCGCGTGCAGGGCAAGCATCCTACGTGCTGTGCTATCACTCCGGCTCCTATTCAGTCCTGTTTAACTTAACATTTAAACAGACAATTTTGAGAAGATGAACTGGGAACAGCCACAATCACACACTGTAACCCCCAGAGGCAGGTTTTTCATTTGGCCATTTCTCCATCCACACGTTCATACAAGTGCTTACTGTTGCCTTGGTATCACGGCCGTGTGAGTGCTGGAGGCCTGAGGGTGAACAGACTCTGGACTCTGGCCCCTTCCTCCCTTCCCTGCCCCCATTCCATCTCAGAAGCACCACAGCCCACATTCCCAGCACCCTCGGCCCCTTCTTGGCAAACCTTGGCAGCCGACACCAGAGTGGACGGGCCAGTGCTGCCTCTCCTCTGAAACTATCCAGTCCAGCCACCACGATACTGGGAAGCAGAGGAGGATGGGTAGATTGCAGGAAGCTAGACCCAAGGGACAGAGGGGGACTGCCCTCTCAAGGACAGCTGTGCTCTAGTTTGAGACAACATGAAGACTCTATGCCTTTGGAAAGGCACCCCTCAAAACAAGCCCAGAAGCTTCAAAGTGCAGAAGCCCCAAGCCCCAGTTCAATATCTTACTATGAATTTAGCTACAAATAGATTTACCTTTTTTTTTAAAAAAAGAGTAAGGTAAAGGTAAAGGTAAAGGCCCTCCCGTTGATCCTCGATTTGCTCGAGCGGGCCCAGTAACGTCTACATTGGAAAGAGTATTAACTGAAATTTTCTTTCTTTCTTTCTTTCTTTCTTTCTTTCTTTCTTTCTTTCTTTCTCTCTTTCTTTCTTTCTCTCTTTCTCTCTTTGGGTCACAACTGGTGATGCTCAGGGGTTACTCCTATCTCTCCACTCAGGAATGACTCCTGGCGGTGCTCAGGGGACCATATGGGATGCGGAGGATTGAGCCCAGGTTGGCTGCGTGCAAGGCAAACACCCTCTCCACTGTACTATCACTCTGGCTCCGAACAGATTTACTCCTAAGAGGATTCCCAATGGATCATCTTTGGGTCACTGGAAAGAGATCCCCACATTGGGCTTGGCGCTGGGTCTCAGAATCTTTAGGGTACATGGAACCTCAAAGGGATATGCCCATTTGGAATTTGCCCAACTCTTAAGTGGCACACCAGGACCGTGGAATCCCCTGGGGAGCTCAGAACTCCCCTCCAGGGACTGCAAAGACCTCATCCCTGAGTTCCATCTCCAAGAGAGGCAGCCCCGCCCAGTCCACTCTCTGCCATGAGCCACCAAGGTTTGCCAAGAAGAGGCAGAGGGTGCTGGGAGCACAGGCTGTGGTGCTCCTGAGATGGAACTAGGGCTGGGAAAGGAAGAAGGGGCCAGCCATGGAGCAGGGCCATGCATCCGCCCCTGCTACCTTTAATGTGTCAAGAAGTTCTATGAGGGCCCTTTGCCTTCTAGCACCTTCAGATGGCATGTTTGTCAATGTCAGAGAATACAGTCCTCCTCTTTGTTTCACAAACTGAGTTTGATTCCTAAGTTATGCAGACACTGAGCGCCTGAACTCCATTTGAGGGAGTTCAAGCTGCTGCATGCATAGGGCAGAAATAAATAATGTTAAATAAGCAATCTTGGTCTTGTAGTTGGCGAAGGACAGGTGGGCGTTACGAATACTTTTCCCAGCTTCTGCCGCATCTACCAGTACTTCTGCTCTTCTCTCTTTGAGGTCTTCCTTGATCGCATCTCTGCACTGTTTTGCGAGCTCGGACGTTAGCTTGCGGTTGCCTGAGGCATGTGCCAAACCGAGCTGGCGAATTAGCTCAAGAGTTTTTGAAGACAGGCTTTTTTTTTTCCCTTTATTTTATTTTATTATTTTTTTTAAGTTGTAGATTTACAATTTTTTGTGCTTGGGTTTGATTATACAATGATCAGATACCCATCCCTCCACCAGTGCCCATTTTCCACCACCATGGATAATATCCCCCCCACCCCCATCCCCCCATCCCCCCTGTCTCTGTGGCAGGGCAATCCCCTGTGTTCTCTCTCTCCTTTTGGGTGTTGTGGTCTGCAAAAGAGGCACTGAGTGGCAAACATGTTCAGTCCATAGTCTACTTTCGACATGCATCTCCCCTCCTGGGAGGATCCTCCAAACATCCTTTATTTGGTGCTCCCTTCTCTATCTGAACTGCCCTTTCCTCTAGGATACCCGGCTGGCCTCTAAGTTATGGAGTAATCCTCCTGGTGCTGATCTCAGCTATTCTTGGGTATTAATCTCATACTTTGTTACTTTATATCCCCCAGATGAATGCAATCTTTCTATGTCTATCCCTCTCTTTCTGACTCATTTCGCTTAGCATGATACTTTCCATATTGTACCACTTGTATGTAAATTTCATGACTTCATCTTTTCTAAGAGCTACATAGTACTCCATTGTGTAGATGTACCAAAGTTTCTTTAACCAGTCATCTGTTCGTGGGCATTCAGGTTTCTTCCAGTTTCTGGCTATTGTAAAGAGTGCTGCAATGAACAAACAAGTGCAGATGTCACTTCGACTATACATTTTTGCCTCTCTGGGATATATTCCCAGGAGTGGTATTGCTGGGTCAAATGGGAGCTCAATTTCTAATTTTTTGAGAATCGTCCATACTGTTTTCCAGAAGGGCTGAACCAGTGGACATTCCCACCAACAGTGAAGGAGTGTCCCTTTCTCGCCACATCCACGCCAGCATCGGTTGCTTTTGTTCTTTTGAATGTGGGCCAGTCTCTGAGGTGTGAGATGGTATCTCATTGTGGTTTTGATCTGCATCTCCCTGATGATTAATGATGTAGAGCATTTTCTCATGTGCTTTTTTGCCATTCGGATTTCTTCTTTGAGAAAGTTTCTGTTCATTTCATTGCCTCATTTTTGGATGGGGTTGGATGTTTTCTTCTTGTGGAGTTTAACCAGTATTTTGTATATCCTGGATATCAACCCCTTGTCAGATGTGTATTCGGTGAATATCCTTTCCCATTCTGTAGACTGTCTTTGTATTTTGGTCACTGTTTCTTTGGAGGTGCAGAAGCTTCTTAGTTTAAGATAGTCCCATTTATCTATCTCTGTTTTCACTTGCTCGGCCAGTGGCGTGGCATCTTTGAAGATACCATTAGCTTCAATGTCATGGAGGGTTTTGCCAACTTTGTCTTCAATGTACCTTATGGTGTCTGGTCTGATGTTGAGGTCTTTAATCCATTTTGATCTTACTTTTGTACATGGTGTTAGGCAGAGTTCTGAGCCTATTTTTTTGCATGTAGCCGAAAGACAGGCTTTTTTTGTGGCTATTTCTCTCTTGGCGTTCCTCGCACATTCATGGAGGTGCTGAACCAGTCGATCGTATTCCTCGTCAATGTTGTCAACAATGGCATCTTCCCATGTTGCCGCAATAGTGCTAAAGAGCTCCCAGTTGGTGGTTGTTCTGGGAGTTCTCTTTTTGAACTTTGCAGCCCTTTCTCCCCGCTCTGTGAAGTAGAATTTTTCACGAAGGAGATGGTGGTCCGATCCCGTTCGAAATTTTGGGACAACAGCGACATCGGTCAGGCAAAACCTTCGATTGACTATGATGTGGTCTATTTCATTGTGGAATCGTCCACCAGGAGACTCCCATGTCCAACGTTTAGATTCTGCCTTCTGGAACTGTGAGTTACCATGGATGGTCTTGGTCGACATGATGAACTCAGACAGTCTCTCACCCTGTTCGTTCCATTCTAGGCCATGGGTCCCGATGTGAAGTTCTTCAATATTCAGGTCTCCCAAAGAAGAATAGAAAGAGCTATGCTTGGAATATCACGTTTCACTCAAATGAGAGAAAAAATCCGGAGTTCCGACATCCGTCGACGATCAAGAATCAGGGATGCTGTCTCATTTGCCAAGGTGTCAAAAATCAGATGGGCTGGTCACGTAATGAGATTTAAAGACGACCACTGGACTAGAGCTGTTACTGACTGGATTCCACGGGATGTCAAAAGACCGCGTGGTCGCCCACCTACCAGATGGTCAGACTTCTTCGTGAAGATCATGAATGATCGGTTTGAGGCTCTTCATGTTCCCAGAGCGAACAGATGCCACTGGGCTACACTAGCACGCGACAGGGACAAATGGAGATGTTACTGGCGCCCGCTTGAGCAAATCGACGACTAACGGGAAGTGAAGTGATTAAGTGATTAAGTGAAATAAGCAATGCCAGTGCCTGACATTGAGTGTCTGCTCTTACATGATGGCTGTTACCACTCCAACTAGGACTATTACCACCACCACCACCACCACCACCACCACCACCAACACTACCACTGCAGGCCTCACCCAATTCAAGGAGCTTTTGTCTCTTCCTGGGGTGCCTTCAGACTTACCTTTTCTCCTGGAGTGACCGATATCCTCCAGACGCAGTGCGTGTAGGAAGGATAGCCATTTGGGAAACCCGGTGCAGAGAAGTTTCCTGTAGAGTCCTGCAGGGTCTCCCCGCATGCTGCACAAGCAAAATGACAAATGTGACCCCAGCACATGCACCAGCTCTTTGCCAAGAATCTGGCTTTGCAGGTCCCGGGCAAATACACCCTTCTGGTCCGCTGGCAACCATGCCCAGGAGACAGGCATCTTCCTGGTGAATGGAAGCAAAAAATAAGAACCTGGGCACCAAAAAAAGTTGACAGCCCAGGGATTTGCTCTGAGAATCTCAGGACTGAGCCCAACCCAGAGCTGGGTTTGCATCTCAGCTCTCTAGCCCACTGTATGTGGGCAGCAAGTTTCCCAGCCTTGCTAGGTCTTGTGAATGGGTATCTGTGAGATACCCATTGAATGGTGAGACCTTCTGAGGGGGATGAGACCACTGCCTGCAGTTGGTGAAATGGACTCTACCAGGCTTTCATAGTGTTGTCATCCAGAGACAATCAGCAACTTCCAGCAAGAAAACACAAAAGAACGCCTTGAAATCTGTCTCAGCTGTGAGTTGGAATCTTACCTACAATTTTTTGTGCTAATGGCCTTGGAAAGGGCTATAAATAATCATGAGAACAGAGAGAAATTACCAAGTGGGGAAGTTACAATGGTCTAGAAAAGGCAATTCTGCCCTTGAATGTTTCCAAGGGTTTTGGGTGATACCCAGCGGTGCTTGGGCGACCCTGCAGGGACTCAAACCCAGGCTTCCCACATACAGAGTCTGCACTCAGCTCATTAACCTATGTCTCAAGTCCCTGCCCATGAATGTTGGAAAGCTGACTGGTAAGAGACTAGGACTTAGTCCCACATATGGGAAAAATAGCTCCCTATCCATCCGCTGCAAAAAAAAAAAAGAAAGAAAGAAAGAAAGAAAGAAAGAAAGAAAGAAAGAAAGAAAGTAGTTGTATGAATATACTTGGAAGCTAGAAGCTGCAAATTTTATTTATACCCCTTCCACCTGAGGGGTTCAGGTCCCAAAGACATTGGTTTGCTGAGTGTCCCTCCCCTTTAGGGGTTCTCTTTGAAGTGCAGGAAACAAGCCTCCAATGCATCTTTCCTTCCTTGCACTTGAGCCTCATTTGCAGCTACTACTTCAATTCCTTGAAGCTGCAGTTCTGTGAGCCACAGGAAGGGAGAAAGGCTAGTCACTGGCCTCAGGAAGTCCTGGATTTCGGGGCTTCAAATATCGTGTTACTGAACAACTGCCAGGCATCTTGAGGATTATGCCTGGCAGTCAACACCCCCAAGGGTTGCATGGAAATTATTTTAGAATAATCATCAACATTCTGCAAGAACAGATACTTTACTATATGGCTCCAAGACATTTACCAGCTGCTTAAAATCCTTTAGGGAACTGAAAGGAATATACATTATAACTAACTAAATATGATGGCATCTCCCAGGGAATGCTATAGGGTTTCTCTTTCAATTCAGCAAGGCTACATGATACGTATGCCCTGTATTTCAGCCTTGGTACACCCCCAGATGACTAAGAGCTGGAAAGACATTTCCTAGACTCTCGTGACAAAGCAAGGCCTACACGATCTACAGCATGCCCCATGATCCCACTTAGGAGGACATTATACCCTGGATTTCTAGAATGAACCAATTCCGATAGCCTGTCTCATGATCAACTGTGTTTACTGTCCAGGGGATTGGAAAAGATTGCTGGACCTGTTGATAATCCAACTTCTCTCTTTTTTCCCAAGCCACTATCAGTGGTAAAACAAACAAACAAACAAACAAACAAACATAGCTAGGTAAAGGTAAAGGCCCTCCCGTTGATCGTCGATTTGCTCGAGCGGGCCCAGTAACGTCTCCATTGGAGACTTTGTTGTTACTGTGTCTGGCATATCAAATACTCTAGGTAGCTTGCCGGGCTCTCAGAGAGGGGCGGAGGAATCGAACTCGGGTCGGCCATGTTGGCTGCGTGTGTAAGGCAAACGCCCTACCTGCTGTGCTATCGCTCCAGCCCTAGCTAGAGTGTCTAATATTTTGTCTGGAAGCTCAACAGCCTGAAGGGGTGGACATGAGCTCCCACAGGGCCATTGGAGATGTTGCTGAAGTTGAGGCAAAGAGGCAAAGATGAGGGGCCAGGACTTCTAGGCAGGCAGAGAAGCCAACACCAGCTCAGACTCTGTTCTCCCTGTGTCCCAGGGCAGATTACTGCCTCTACTCTGCAGTACCCTGGAGAGGCAAGGAGAGCCCCTGGACCAAAGAGGAAACCTCATTCGTGGTACAGAAGTGCTTCTACACCTGCCTCATGAGCTGGGGGAGAAGGCAACTGGAATAGAGAAGGGATCACTAAGTCAATAATGGTTGGAGGAATCGTTCGGGATGGGAGATGTGTGCTGAAAGTAGATAAAGGACCAAACACGATGGTCTCTCAGTATCTATATTGCAAGCCATAGGCCCCAAAGTAGAGAGAGAATATGGGGGAAATTGTCTGCCATGGAGGCAGGGGGAGGGTTAGAAAGGGGGAGGGGTGTAATACTAGGGACACTGGTGGTGGAAAATGTGCACTGGTGGAGGGATGGATGTTCAGTCATTGTATGACTGAAACTCAGACATGAAAGCTTTGTAACTGTACCTCATGGTGTTTTAATAATAAATAAATAAATAAATAAATAAATAAATAAAAGAAGCACTTCTACCTTCCAGTGTTTAGCAAGTTGATGTTCCCTCAAGTACCTTCTTCTTTATCTTCCTGCAAAACACTTGGTCTTTTTTTTATTTGGAGGAAGGGGGCCTCTCAAGCAGGACTCAGGGAGCCCAGGGGCCACTCCTGAGTGATATCTGACCAACCTGGAGGGAGAGTTCAATGTTCATGCCGGGGGGGGGGGGGTGTGAAGCTTCTCAGGTTCTGAGGTACTGGGGGCCACCAGGGACACCCCGCTGAAGGGTCAGCAGTGCTGCAGATCAAACTTGGGTCTCCCACATGCAAAGCATGTACTCTGATCTCTGTGCTCGCTCCTGAGCCCCATACCCTCCATTTGCATTCAATCAAATCTGTAGTATAGAAAGTCGAAGGGGTCTATTATCAAGAGGTATGCACTATTCTGAGACTCCTGCTCCCTACCACTTCACTATGTTTTCTTCTGTACATCAGGGTGTGGCCAGAGAATTCCGAAGCCTTCCTTGAACTGTAGATTCAAGAGTGAATCTACAATTCCCTTGACCTCCAACAGCAGCAGCAGAGCAGAAAGTCTGGCTGCAGACATGCAGTCTTGTCAGGTTCCCCAAGGCATTTTCCAGCAAGGGGAAGGCGTGCTCAAGGAGGGGAGCTGTGCTCTGGGGGTGCTCAGGAGGCTCCGAGAACCCCCCTGACAGTTACCTGGGCATTTGTAGAGCTTCCGGGCTTGAGCTATGTCTCCCTGACTGAGCCGCACACGCTGGCCAATAGGGGGTCTAACACCATTGTCATCTCGACGGGGTAGGATGGTATCCAGGAAAACGCCTCTAGAAGGAGAGAAAAGGGAGCAAGAAGTGGGGAAGGGAAGACAAGGCCGTCAGACATCTGTGCTGGGATTACAGTCCCTGCCTTGCTCGAAGCCCGTCTACATTCCAACTCCCTGGCCTGCCTCTCTCCAGGCTGACCTGACAAAGGAGGCTGCCTCCATCCATCAGGCATTTCGGCATTCCGTTCCATCAGCTGCCTCCTCACTTTCCAATGAGAAAATGAGGTTAAGCAACAAAACGGGAGACTAACACCCAGGAATGGCTGAGATTAGTACCAGGAATTTTGCTCCATGACCTGAAGGCCAGCCACACGTGCTAGGTGAAAAGGAAGCTCAGATAGAGAAGAAAGCACCAAATAAAGGGTGTTGTGAGGACCCTCCCAGGGTGGGAGAAGCATGCTAAAAGTAGTCTATAGACCAAACATGATTGCCACTCAATGCCTCTTTAGCAAAACACAGTACCCAAAAGAAGAGAGAGAGAGAACAAGGGGGAATGCCCTGCCACAGAGGCAGGGTGGGACGGGGGGGATGGGGGGGTGGGAGGGATGCTGGGACCCGTGGTGGTGGAAGATGGGCACTGGTGGAGGGATAGGTACTTGATCATTGTATAACTGAAACCCAAGCACAAAAATTTATAAGTCTATAACTATACCTCATGGTGTTTCACTAATAAAAAAATTAAATAATAATAAAAAAATAATGCACTCAAGGATAGAACGTTCAGGAAATTTCAGAATGGAATGTCCAGCATATAATTTTGATGTAGATATTACATAGAAGGTTCTTAGTCACTACTTAATAAAGATGTTCTAATGTTTAAATTTTAAGCAGCTATCATTGAGTTATCAACATTTTGAAGAATGTTCAACTATCACATTTAATGTATTTCTACTCTTCTGTAGTATATTCCCACCACCCCCGAAAAGCAACTCTATTAAAATTGTTCTCAATTTTAAAAAAATGCCCCTGAACAGTGGTCTAGGAATTTGCATGGAGCACCCCACAGCTGGTTCCCAGGGCCACCACATGGCACAACTGTTGTGTGAAACCCCTTGGGGAGAAGATCATATGTGTGGCGTCCCCTGGTGTTGTGCAATGGTCAGTCCTGAGTCTCAGCAAAGCTCCAGAGCTTGTGATGAAGAAAAGTGTGGGGCTCAGAGGGGAGGGTCAGCAATCCAACAAAGAGTTGGCCAGTTATGGAGATTAGAGTTTAGGGAGCCTTGCTGACAGGAGGAATAACCCAAAGGGAAAGAAGAGGTGTTTAGAGATTGGGAGAGAGAGAGAAGCCCAGGCCTAGAGATTTCTACATAAAGTCTTGAGGTTCTGCCACTGAAGAGCGATGAGAGAAGTCCCTTCTCTCTCTATGCCTCAGTTTGTTCCTCCAAACAGGAAGCAGCTGGCTTGGACAGTTATGGTAGCTTCATATAACTCTGCTTATGGCTCCTACATGGATTAAGTAGAAAATGATGAAAACAGACAGGTGGCCCCAGATGCCTGACTGAGCACTGGCCCTGTTCACCCTTCACAGTGCTGGTTCATGGGCCTCAAAAGGTAGAAACCATTAATCTGAGCTTAGCTTCGTACATGATGGGTTGCAGCCCCATAAGGGACACATAATAGAATTTGGGGCCATCTTAAAATAAAATTCTTTGTGCTTGATTATCAGTAGCTGTTTGGTTTGGGTGCTTATTTTATAGACTGATCTACCCGGAGTGACATAAAAATTTCTTGGGATAAAAGGGGGTCATGAGTGGAAAAAGTTGAAGAAGCTCTGGTTTGAGATTACTTACTGGTTAAGCCTGTCTTACACTCCTATTACCCACATCAAACCTCATCACATCTTTGTCAAAGTCCCATGGCCTCATCTATGGGCTCAGAAAGACACCCACCTCCCCACCCCACAAGTTTCTCCAGGGGGATCCTTGGTCTCCCTTGCTGACCCCACCAAGTTTTAAACCACTAGGGTTCACTGCACACAAAATGCTGAACTCAGTCATGGACTCTTCTGCCCTGGTAATATGTGCAATTTATTATTTAAAGGAAATTTATTATTTTATTAATTCCATATAATCATTTTCTTTATCATTTAAAAATTTATTATTTTCTTGATTTCATAAAAGAAACACATTTTTGCTATACAAAATTCAAGGCTCATCCCACTCATAGCAGCTCAGGCCAACTGACCCACCACTGACCAAACTGCCCAGGTGACTTGGCCTGAGCTGTGCAGCATAAGGAGTAAACTCGAGGTTTGCCAATAGGCCTTTGCATGTGCTAGGCCTGGGCCGGGTACCCGAAAGGCATCATCTCATTTAACCCTCACAACAGTCATGGCACTGGGAGTCATCAGTCTCGAGTGCTCTCCCTCATCTGCCTCAGAGCTACATTACCTGGTAGAGCACAGGACTGCTGGAGAGAGCCTGTCCTGAAAGCCAGCTTGGCCTGGATTCTGCTGCTGGCAGTGTCCTCCTTCCAGCCCCAGTATCCTGCTGCCCAACAGAAGGCCTTAGTGGGTGTTAAGATAAATGATGGTCAAAAACACTGGGACCTTTGAATCAGCAGGAGTAACACCAGCTCCCTTTAACACAGGTCTGTGGGGCCGAGACTCCCTCCCCACACATCCCTGAACTGACACAGGTGGCGAGCTCTGGAAGATGTTAACTACCGGGGTAGCCCTCTGTCAATTGTCACAGAAATGCCCCTCATTTTATGTAGGGGCTTAACACTGACATTCAGCTAAACTAAGACAAGGTTTGGCAGATCCTAAGGGATAAGACTCTCAGCTCTGAGTTCTCTAAGCGAAGGTACTCCAGAGAATTTTTGCTCACATCCCAGCTCGCTACTGATCAGAACCTCCAGAGGCATCAGTCCCCATAACCTGGGTCTAACCAGCATTATGGGGGTTGAGGATGGGGGACTGGAGTAAGGAGTAAACTCAAGGGAATAAAGTTGGAAGGAGAAAGCTCTGAAGCATGGAAAGACTGAAAAACTGGGCTCCCCTCAGCTGGACGAGCTTCGCTTTCGTTGCCCACTCACCTCTGAGAACAAAGGTTCTCTCGGCCCTTCTGCCCCTCCACAAAATAAAAGATAGTAGATACAGCATTGTCCGGAGTGTGGGGTCAGGAGTGATGGCATAGAGTAGGGCAACAAGAAATTTTTGACAAAAAAGTGGGCCAGGCATCCCAGCAGGGAAGATACTATTGAGAAAGGCTCTGAGATACCAAGTACTTTTCTGAAAATCCACACTGAAAACTGTCAGAAAAGGCAAAGCATGTTGTGAGCTGATTTTCTCAAACTGTTCTTACTCTGAGGCAGGTGAGAGGGTGGCCATGGTAGATGGTTAAAGTGATGAGCTGCATCTCTACTTTCCGAATTCTCTGCAATGTGAAGTTGCCCCATTTCATCAAGTTAGACTCTAGGGACAGGAGAGGGTAGAGCAATTGCCTTGTATGCGTGTGACCTGTGTTCAATCCCGGGACCCCATATGGTCTTCCGAGTCCGCCAGGAGTGATCCCTGTGTGCAGAGTAGGGAGTGAGCCCCAAGCACCGGCAGACGTGCCTTCCTTCCCACTGAAAAGGGTAGAATCTATTTGCCCACACTGTTGGAACCAGGTTGACCTTGGGGCCTGCTCTGGTACCTGGGACTGACAGTTTGTCAAGGAAGTTCTAGAACCCAGGTCTCAAGAGTCTTGCTGTCCTCTGGCCTGTTCTTCAGGAATCCTGGGTTTCCAGTCTAGCCTACTTGAGGACAAGAGGCCATGTGGAGAAGAACTGAGGCCCAACAGGCAGGTGGCAGCATGGCCAGACACAACATGGACTATCTTGGATTTCCCCGTCCAAACACGCGGCCAGTGATTCTCATTGCAAGGGTGATCCTGGGCAACATAACAGAAGAGCAAGCCAGACCAACCCACAAAAATCAAAAGTTGTAAGCTGCTAAGTGGTACAGATTATCCTGCAACAATAGAAAATATCACAATAGCAGAAGGGGGATTCTGCCTTTTGCTCCTCCCTTCAGGGAGTTTCTCTGCTCTTACCTAGCTGCCTGTCACACCTGCCTGCAGCACCCTTACTAACATACCTCCAAGGGGTCCTGAATACTTTGGATGTGAAACTATTACTTTATGGTTTTCGCCCATGCTGAGAAAATGGCTCACATTGACAAGTGTTCTTAATAGCTATCTCCTGAAGGGCAAAAACAAGTACTGAAGTAAAGATCCCAGGAGTAAGAATAAGAGACTGTCTAAAAAAGAAAGACAAGAAAAGAAATGCTGGTGCCAGCAGATATCCAGTCCACATTCTTGCCTTGACTTTGGTTTTGGAACTTGGCTTGGTAACCAGCACAAAGAAGGCACTGAGAAAGCAGCATGGTTCTACAACACTTTCATAGCCATGGAGCCCCAAATTCCCCACGGAGAAGAGAGATGGAGATTGTGCTTCATGAAATAGCTCCTGTGTGTGGGAGTATGTGGCAAGAACTGTCATGGGTGTAATGGAAATGTCTATCCATCCCAGTCTCTAGCATGTGTTTCCGTATCTCCTTTGACTTGTTCATAGAGTGACTGGTTTCACATGTATTTACTGAAAAACTGCTCTGTGCCAGGCACTGAGTTGAATGCTGAGGACTAGAAAAGAATGAGATGGTCTCTTTCCTTGAAGGTCTAGGCAGAGCAAAAGAAAGGGACATGTAATCAACCAATGTTAATAGGCAAACACATCAGAGAAGTCATAAAATACTATGAAGAGTTATGACAACTCCAGAAACAAAATCCAACATCCAAGCTTCTCACCTGGACCAATCTGACACTGGTTCTGTGAGAGTCAATACTTTGAACTGCTGGGGTAGGAGGTGGGCGGGCGGGGCCCTGGCTATTTCTTCATGATTTTTCAAACCTCGGAGTCAGCCCAGCTCCAACACCCAAGCATCTCTCTTTTGACCTCCATAAAGCTTCATGCTGTCTACTCCTTCTGCATAGATCATTGAATTACTCCCATGAAGTGCCCAAGCTGAAAGGGGTTTGGGGAACACCACATCCAGCTCTATCAGAAGGAAACTGAGGTCCAGGTAGATTGAGATTTGACTCAGCAGGTAGCTGTCCTCAGTGGTCAACACCTCCCTACTCAATAGCAAGGTTCTTGGGAGAAGCAGAGCTTGAACTTAGCCCCTCTCAGTTCATTGATCTCCTCAGTACACTAGTCTAGGTCAAAGTAGAAGACTAAAGAAACTGGAATTCTGACAGAAAGCCTTGTCCATCCCATTGTTTTTTCCTTTCCAAAATGAGCCTTATGACTTTGACAAAGTTGTTTTCTATTGCTTAGAAAATAGAGGCAAGATCTGAATACATCTAGTTAGCCATAAGATTTCGGGCATTGTTTAAGTACATTTTCTGCAACAAAAACCTATTGGGAATGTTTTATTTTCTCCTTAGTGTTTGTAATTTTTAGAAAACTTCTGTTTTTAAAACTCTCACAGTATCTGAAATCTCCAGGCTCTCAGGAGTCGGGGATGGGCATCCTCTCCCCATGCCCCAGTTCCTCTGGGAGCCTGGCAGTCACACCCATGAACTGCCTCTGGCACCAGATAAACTCATTAACTGGCCATAATCCAGAGACTCATAAATAAATCTTGAAAGAGATCAATAAGCTGCAGAAATGCCTCTGGATCCCAAAGTCACCATCCACTTAAAAATTTAACTCCAGCTGTATCACCCCATTCAAAATTTTAGAATTTTCAGAGTGTGTGGCTGCAAAAGAGGCAGCACAACACCTCAAACTCTACACCATTGGCATACTAGTAGTAGTATGCCACATTTGATGAATGTAAAGTAGAAGGTAACCAATCTCAATTAAGAAAATATTAACACACAGGCTGAAACCTATAACAATATGTTAGTAATCTCTTAAACAAGGGCTCCATGGCTCCAGAACCCTGAGAAATTCATTTACCTCAATCCCAAGAGCTGTGTAACTTCCAAGCTAGTGATAGCATAGTGGGCAGGGCTTTGCCTGGTACGCAGCTCACCCCTGTTCAATCCCCGGCACCCTGTATGATTCCTTGAGCACCACCAGTAGTGCAAGGCCAGGAGTAAGCCCTGAGCAGTGCCAGGTGGTACTTATTCTGGGTGGCCCCCAAACCAAACCAAACCAAACAACAACAAAGTAAGCACACTGAAAAGAAATTACCAGGAAAGAATAAGTTTGCTTTGTGTTCCCTTCCCTGACATGCAAGGGTGGAAAAGGAAACAAGAGGAAACTCCATATGAAACACCAAGATGGTTTAGAAGCCAGAAGGACACTCAACCCCAGTCTAGAGCAGCCGTAATTTATCAAGACGAATCCAGTCAAGGTCACCATAAATAACAGGCTGGGCCTGGGACCCAGGGGTTCCAACTCCTATCCAGGATGCGATGGGCAGAATCCTGGATCTCTGTTCTTCCTTGGACCCCAGATATCCATGTACCCTCCAGCTGGTCAGAGCCTTATTTTCTTCACCTCTAAAATGTAGTCATGATATTCATCCCTCCCTCCCAACTCTCATCTCATCTAGCTTCCAAGAACTCAAACCTCTTCCCGGCAAACCAGTTAAGTGTTACCGTGTTGATGCCACAGACTTACTCTCGAAGATTCCCCCTCACCCACTGGAAATCTCACACAAAGCCTCTAAGTTATTATCTCAGCTGACCTCCCAATCACTTCCCCTTTCCAGTTTGTTGCTTGTGACATTAGGGCATGATGGAGTGCCTGCTTCACAATGGGATTCAATCTTATTAGCGGGAACCTGATTAGATTAGATTTCACTGCAGCCCAGAGGCCACTGTATTTCAAGGGCAGACACGCCACCTGTGCTTGGAGCATGCAGAGCCCCATTCTCCTCAGACCTCCAGGAGTCCAACCCCAGGCTGCAGCAGGCAGTAAAACACAGACAAGGCAGAAACGTAGATTCCGACCTTGAAAAGGTATTCCGGGCATAGTGCATGATGCTGTCAAAGTCGTACGTCTCTCCCAGAGAGCTCACTTCCGCAGCTTCCATTTTTAAGAAGTTGTACTCCTGACCTGTGACACAACACTTTGTGAAACCTTTGAAAACCAAGGCAGCCATAAGAAAGGAGGTAAGGGTTGGTGGGTGGGGGTTGGGTGGGAAGGGAGTCATTGCCACCTTCTGAAACTCTGTTAGGCTTAGCAGTTGAATAGCAGGGTGGTGTGTTTTAACAGAATGGACATTTGAAAGTCAGAAGACCCCTCTTCTCCCTATTCCACCACCCAATAGCCCTCCTTAAAGACAACTTAAACAATGTTTGAGATGAGCTGTTATGGATCTGGAGTTGTCTAAAATTAAAAATAACAGCAAAAATAACAAAAGGCAAAAATTCTAATCAACAGAAAAAGTGAAGGAAAAGAGAGTTAAGTTCAATCTCAAAAAGTCACAAATCAGACTCTTAGAAATATTTGTAAGGCCACCCTACTGCCCAAGCGCGAGCAGATGATCTTCTAGATGAAGTGATTTAACATGAAAAGGAACGTTTTGAATATCTAGACAATCCATCTGCCTTGGGGAAATTTCTATACATGTATATCTAGACAATCCATCTGCCTTGGGGAAATTTCTATACATGTATCATGTCCTAATTTTTTTTCAGTTTCAAAAAGGGTGCCTCTTGACAAGTAGAAATGATTCTTATATATATATATATATATATATATTTTATATAAATGACTTTTTAAGCAAGAAAAATATATATATATATAGCCAGAACACTTGATTTTTTAGCTTATCAGTTTTGATGCTGCTACTGTGTTCTGGGAGATTCTGCTCCCTTTAGGAAATGGATTTTATTGTCTTTTGCAATGAAATCTACTGGAAAGTCAATCCAATCTACTGGGAAGCCAATCCAGTTCTGCTCTAGCCTCCAGGCTTTGGGAGATGCTTCCCCAGGAGTGGCCTCACGTGGACGGGGCAGTGCAGGTACCCACACTGGCCCAGGGCTGCTGCTGTCTCCACTCCCAACAGATGCCACCTTCCTAGTGGATTCCAAATGCCGCTGAGAATCCTTACCTGGCTGGATGTTTTCTCTGATGATGGTGACATGCTGATCTCGATCCGGCCGGGTGTGTTCATGCCAGAACCCAACCACATGGCCTAGTTCATGTGCCACAATGCCAAATTTGTCACAGTTTTTCCCAATGGATATGGCCTGTGGGCCTCCTCCTCGGCGCCCAACATAGGAACAGCAGCTGGAAAATGGCAGAAACACCCAGGTGAGCGGGTCTAGACAGTAGTTAAATGCCCCTCCCCAGTGTGTGTGTTTGTGTGTGTGTGTGTGTGTGTGTGTGTGTAAAACAAACACAGATTTTTATCTCTTAAAGCTCTATTATTGCTTAACTTCCTTTCCAGTGGAAACATTTCCTCTAAAAATGATAGGCAGATTTTTTGGAGGTAGTTTTGGGCCCACTTGAGAAAGATATGGTCTCTTTGACCGAAAGACAACACACACCCTATTCCAGCTCCCATCCCCAAATCCAAATCTATGTCTGACCAGCTCTGCTGATGAGGAGAGAGAGGATGGAGGCAGTGACTTTCTGCCAGATATGAGAGTTTTGATGCCTTTCAAAATATAATCTGTTTAACATTGGCTTTATAAAACTATTTTAGCTAACTAGATAGTTGAAAAATAGTAATTCTGAGTATTGAGACTAGTTTTATTGTGTTTTTATATGACATCTGAATCTTTTATTTTTCTTGCATGCATCCATATTTTCTTTTGTGCTGTCCATTTTTTTCTTATCATTTTGTAAGAATCTTTCATAATTTAGGGGAATAAGTCTTGATTGTTAATATGTTGCAAATTTTTTCTCATTTTTTTTCTCTTTTGACTTTTTGTGGTACTGTTTTGATGTTTGTTTTACTATATATATTTAAAACTGTAAAGGAATGTCTTTATTGTCTTTTTTCTTGCTTAAAAAGTCATTTATATTCCCAGACTAAAGTAAAATCCACTGGAAAGTCAAGTGGAAAGTCTTGTTCCTTTCTACTGTTCTGCAATGAACTACCTAACAATATTCCAGTTAGAAACTCCTCCTCTTCCTTCTCCATCTTTTTAATTCTTCTTCTTTTTTTTTTTTTTGTATTTTGGAAGGCCACATCTGTTGATTCTCAGGGCTTACTCCTGACTCTGCACTCAGGGATCACTACTGGTGGGGTTAAGGGGACCATATGTGATGCCAGGATCAAACCTGGGTCAGTTGCATGCAAGGCAGGTATTTTACTGTACTATTTCTCTGGAATTGTAAGTTTATATTTCCTACATGTGATCCACCTGGTTTTTATTTCCAGCAACACATATACTTCTCCCAGCACTCCCTGAAGTGACCCCTGAGCACAGAAGCAGGAGTAGGCCCCAAGCACCAAAAACGTGTGGTTCCCCAAACCACTGTCACTGTCACTGTCCTCCCATTGTTCATCGATTTGCTCGAGCGGGCCCAATAACATTGTGAGACTTGTTACTGTGTTTGGCATATTGAATACATCATGGGTAGCTTGCCAGTCTTTGCTGTACAGGCGAAATACTCTCGGTAGCTCACTGGGCTCTCCGAGATGGGTGGAGGAATCAATGTTTGTGCTACTTAGATATATTTTTTAAATTTGAGTTTAGGTAACATGGTTAGAAAAGTACTTGTCTTTATGGTTCTGATGTACAGTGATTGCATCTTCACCACCATCAAAGTTCCCAGAATCCTCCACCACTTCTAATCCTTCTAGTGATCCTCATCAGTCTTCCTGCCACATGCCCCACTGCATGGTAATCTCAGCTTTATAGCCCAAGGTATAGCCCAAGGTAATTTTATCAAAATTCAGTATTGTCAAGTTTCTCATTCCTATAAACCACAAGATGAGTGATCCCACACTGTACTTTTCTTTTTTCCTCTGACTTATAGTTAACACAGAGTTAACTCTAGTTCCATCCAAGTTGAAGTCAACTGCACAATTTCATCTTTTCTTATAGCTGTAGTATCCTACTGTGTATATAAACCACAACTTCTTTATCTATTCATCAGTTGTTGGATATTGGGTTGCTTACATATCTTGGCTGCTGAAATTAGTGCTGCAGTGAGCACAGGTGTGTTGTGTTCTTTTCAAATAAATGGTTTTGCATTTTGGGGAAGATGTAAAGTATAATTCCAGTTAGAAACTCCTTCTCTTCCTTCTCCTCCTTTTTTAAATTTTTTTTTTGTATTTTGGAAGGCCACATCTGTTGATTCCCAGGGCTTACTCCTGTCTCTGCACTCAGGGATCACTACTGGTGGGGCTAAGGAGACCATATATGATGCCAGGATCAAACCTGGGTCAGTTGCATGCAAGGCAGGTATATGGGTCATATGGGTTGGCTACTTTTTAAAAAACACAAAATACATATTAAATGCTGTTGATACCACTTTAACATTTCTTGAGGTATGATAATGGCTTCCCCCCACTTTTGTATCAATATAGTAAATCAGGTGAAAAGATTTCCAAATATGAAGTCATTCTGTATCACTTAGGTAAACTATCTTGGCAGCCCACTCTTCTATTCTCGTACATGCTAACACCTTGCCCAGGCTTTTGTATGACAATACATAAATTAGAAAAGTCCATATTTTTTCTTCTCAGTGGGCCATCTTTATCATTTGTGGGTAGCAATGACATAACCGTCCACTGAAAGTAATTTGGAAGGAAGAGTTCTTTTACTACGCTCTAAAATACATAAACAGTACCAGATCATCTATTTCTGATGATGGTTTAGAAGAATTCAACTGTGAAATTGTGGAACGGGTGCTTTAGGGAGAGAGGCTCTTATCTCCTCAATTTTTCAATTTCTTTCAAAGTTACTGGCCTATGCTAGCACTTCATGTTTACCTTGGAGTCATTCACATTATTCAGATATCCACAATTTTTGTCCTAGAGTTTTAAAAAATACATTTTGAATTCTAATGGATCTTCTCCCTCCCTCCCTTCCTCCCTCCCTTCCTCCCTTCCTTCTCCCTCCCTCTCTCCCTTTCTTCTTTCCTTACTTTCTTTTATTTTTCCTAGCCCTAGAATCTCATATAATCAAAGCATGGACTTTACCTCTGAGCCACACCACCAACTCTATTTTTCTCCTTTTCCTTTCTTTCTGACTTTGTATGTTTCTGCATTGTCACTTTTTTGGGTCTTCAACTAACAAATAGTTTGTCTTTTCCTTTGGAGTTTATTTTAATTGAGGCATCATGGTTTACGATAGTATTAATATTACTCTTTTACACTTAAAATGCTTTGCTTTGATTAGTCAAAAAGTTCACCCTAGAATTTATTAGTTTTCCCATGTGTTATTTTGTCTATAATCTTATGCTCTGGCTAGATTTATCTTCATTGGGATGATCGTTTTATGTATTTATTTACTTAGTTTTGTCAAATTTTTTACATTGAGTATTTCATTATTGGCCTTAATTCACTTGGACAAATCTTTGGATATTTCTCTTTCATTCTAAATTTTAGAACTTTTATTATCTAGACAGCTTGTCATTTAGTCCCCATTCGTTTATGACCTAAGAGGTTTAAAAAGAAAGATTTAACTCTCAGGTATAAGAGAGGTGCTTCTTTTTTCTTTTTTCTTCTTATGTACACTTTCATTGCTTTGCAACCACAGAATACCTAAATGCTATTTCTGCCCTTTAGAATTCATTGAGGTGTCTTAGTATTTAATAGGTTGTCAAGGGCTATAAACTTTCAATATGAACTTTTTAAAAAGATATGTTATTAGATGATAGAATATGACAAACCCATAAAATAAATTCTATTAGTTATGTTTATCAAACCCTCTACAAACTTCCATTTATTTTTTTGGTCAACCTGACATTGATCTACTTGGGTTGAAAAATCAAATCTCCTGCTGCTGGTGTTTCTGTCAATTTCCCTTTGAATTCCCTAGGGCTTGTTTTATGACTATTAATGCTATGCTATTTGGTGCATAAAGAGTTATGACAGTTATATTCGCACCATAGCATGTACTATTTCTCATTATAAAGTATCTCACCTTAAAAAAAACACTCTGACTTGAAAAATAAAACTGACAAAACAGAAAACCTTTTCTATAACTGTAATTGTCACCATAGCTTTCTTTTTAACACCATTTGCCTGGGACATTACTACTGCTTCAAGTATTGAGGGGGGGGCGATGGAGCCTGTAAATTTTTGGAACCCATAAAATTGCATGCAGGCATCTACCTATGTACATTCATCACTAAGACTCTTGTGGCTTCACTGTATCTATATGTGGTCACCGACTCCACACTGGCTTGAAAGCACTTCCCTATTTGAACCCCCCCTAACTCCCTCATGTGCTCCAGTGAGGGGAGATCTAGGCCTTTGTTCTGCTAGAGCCCTGATCACAGCGTTGCCACCAGACTGTGAGCTCATCCAGGGCGAGAGGAGTTTTCTCCTCCACATTTACTTTACAGAGAGAACTGAAGACTCCAGGCATTGGACGCACCTGCCTCTGACTCGGCAGAGGTGGCCTTGCTTGCACTTACCCACAGGTTCTGTAGCTGAACACGATAAAGCTTTCTTCATCCGTCCTCTCTATAAAGGTCACACAGGTGTGCTTCTCCCAGTGTCTCATGGCCTGCTTAAAGATGGCTCTCTGACTTCCTGAAACAACATGGCCAGCTCATCGTTCTGTTCAAGGAACCATGCCTTCCTTTGATTTTGGGGGGGTTGCTTCCAAGAGGTGCTTGGGAGACGGGGGGTGCAAATCTCCTGCAACAGGAACTGGACAATTCAAGACTAGAACCCAGACACGTGAAGTGGCATGGGCCCATCTACACTGGGGGTCACTAGGGCCACATCCAGTAGTGCTTGGAGGAGAGAGGGCACAAGGCACGGGGGTCAGGCTCGGGCCATCCCTGAGCTATCTCCCTGGCCCCCTTCCTATGATGTTTCAAGACACGCAGGCTCAGGACAAAACTTGCTCTAGTGATCAAAAAGAGCATACTTTGGTAATCCAGAATAGGAAGTCACAAAAAAGAAGGGTTTCCCTTGCTAAGAATACCACCCACCTTTCCTAAGTTACCAAAACCTAAAGAGTATAGCCCACAAGTTAAAAAGTAATAATAATAATAATAATAATAAAAGAGGGTACCATTCACTTTGAAAATGTCCCGGGCTTCCTAATTTTTCTTCTGTATTAGAAGTTCTTCTCTGAATTTAAATAAATAAATAAATAAATAAACATCTCAGGTTATTTAATTTGGCAATCTTAAGTTTTGGAAGGCGCTCACCAGCACTGCATTCCACTCTCTGGCACCTGTATTTTCCATTGTTTATACCAAGAACAGTGATCCTGCTCATTTATAGCGTAGCATAAAATCTCTGTACCAAATTCTTTATATAAAATTAATTCATTTTGATGAAGGTTACATAATCTCTGGGTAAGAAAACTGAGCAGATTGGAAGAGTACTGTTAAGATATCAAAGAATAATAGTAACTTTTATGTGGGCATATCCTACCTCTCTGATTAGGGTATGGAGGATATCAGAGGTCAAGGTCAGGGTTTTTCATCCGTTAGTGACATCTGTACTAAAGGAAACTAAATAATACTATATTTTGGACCAGAGAGATTATTATAGGGGTTAAGACAATTGCTTTGCATGCCCTGGCTCAAATCCCCAGGACGCCATGGTCCCCCAAGAATCCCCAGAAACAAACTTTCTCACCCCAGCAAAGAGACGGAGTAGTCTCTAAACACCACCTGTCAAAGAAATAACTCTAACTGAAAGTAATAAAGATAATGTTCCAAATAGAAAATCGTGCCCAATTACTATGCACCAGACATTACTCTAAGCCCTTTATCTAAGTCAGTGTTGCCCAAAGTCGGTGATGTCACCGCTCCCCAGGGTGCTAGAATGCTCCAGACAGGTGGCAGCAATCCTTTGTCTGCTCACTTGACCAGGAGCTTTGCAGGGTCATTGAATCACTCTTTTATTTGTTCCTATAAAAATGACAGTAGGCCAAAAAAGTTTGAGGTCTAAATTAACGCACCTAAGTTACATTCTCAACTCAACCATATGGGTAGAAAGGATTATTATCTCCATAGGCCCCAGAGGAAACTAGACAGGAGAGGTTCACTTGTCAAAGTGTGTCCTACTGGTAAGGGCTGAAGCCAGGGTGAGACCTTATAGTCCACATTGCTAACATGTGGAAATAAGTGACTTTCTCTGAAGCTGAACCTCCAACAGCTTGTTTTGGGATAGGGGCAGTGGTGACTGACCCACTCCTGGCTATACTCGGGGCTTAGTCCTGGTTCTATGCTTAGTAATCACTCCTAGTGATTACACCAGAACCCATATGTGGTGCTGGGTATTGATCTTGGGTTGGCAGCTTGTAGGGCAGATGCTGCCCCCCACACCAACCTCTCTCAGGCACATCAGCCTGAGGATTCTCCAGCCTAGAGTACTGGTTCTGTAGGCACAAGGGATATGAGCAGGTGGGACTCCTATGGCCCCAGGCCCCTGTTCAGCTTTCTCAGTCCTTTCGGGGAGGGGTGGGTGGGGAAACTGTCAATCTTGAGACGCGAAGCACCCTGCCCCAGAGGAGGTGTCCTCCCGGGTTACTGACCAGTGAAGTTCCCGCCGATGACATAGGGGATCACCCCTCCAGGCCATATCCTCTCAATCCTCGCGGTTGTGGCTCTTCGGACCCGGGGCGAAGAGGTGGCCGCTCTGGCATAGGAGGTCCCTGAGCTCTGTGGGAGCATGATGTTCTCCTTGTCATCTGCAAAACAGTGACACCACCATTGATACTACCTTTATAATTTTTCTGCACGTGATGGGGAAGGCAATCATCAAGTCACCAAAGGGATCTATTTACAAATTTGTGTTCTAAAGGGGGTCCTTGGTATGTTCGGAGTTTTGAACCCTGGGAGGAAGTTGTCAAGAGTAAAGACAACTCTCCAATGGTGCAAGAGTAAATGCACAAGGGCTGAGAGGAGTATGTCTGGGTTGTCAGAAACATTGTTTGTGTATTTATCTATTTATGGAGACCACAAGCCAGTGATGCTCGGGGGACCATGCAGTGCCAGGGATCAACCACGGGGCTCTCACACAGAAATTGTGCAGATTTATCTCTTCACACCAATCCTCTGTGACTGTGGTGTGTGTGTGTGTGTGTGGCGGGGGGTGGAGTGCCAGGAATTAAACCCAGGGCCAGGGCCTCACACATGAAGAAAAATCTTCTATTGTTGAGCTACATTCCTAGCAATATTTCTGGAGATCTTAAATGAGGCCCCACAGGGCTCAGGGGTAACCTGTGAGCCAGAAAACCAAGTGAGCCCAGACAACCACAGCCCTTTGGGATGAACCAAGTTAGGGTGTGCTCTCTTCTCCGAGCCAGCAGCACGAGGAGGAACAATCCGCATCACTCCCTGCCTTGACCAAATACCATCAATGTTACGAACTTTTGGGAAGAGCTTAGTCAATACAACAAAGTGAGCCAATACGTGCATGCCGGGAGAATGTGGCTTTGTAAAATACACACGGGAACACGCAGAGCCTCATTATGCCCTCACTCTGCCCTTCCCCAGTCTTTCGGCAAATAGAGAGAAAGAGAAAGCGTCCTGAAACTGAGAAAAAGAGACTGGAGTAATAGAATCCTTTAACCTGGGGCCCTGAGTGATTAAATCAACATTCATTTGATTAATCATTTTGACAATCTACAGTTTGGTTTTCAGTCTTCTTGCTTAGAACCCCTCATTAGTCTCACTTGTGGCATTTATCCTTAAGCTTTTATATGCTTCCTCTAAAAATCACTCTTTCTTTGCTTTCGTTGATCCTTTGCATATGTTTTGTTTGTGTGTTTGGGAGGGGCACATCCAGCAGTGCTCAGGGCCCACTTCTGACTCAGGAATCGCTCCTGGTGGGCTCAGGGTGCTGGGAATCAATCCTGGGCCAGCTCAGCTGCAGGCAAAGCAAGTACTTTACCTGCTGTTCTCTGGCCAGCCCTCTTTTCATTTTTCTTTACTTTATTAATTTTATTTGTTGTTACTTTCTATTTTCACCTACTCCAGTTTTTCCTTTCTAGCTTTTTTCCCCCTTTAAAAGAGACAGAATCCACACATCATGTAGTTACCTTTTATAGTACACAACAGTAGGCTTTAGAATATTTACAACTTTGTGCACCCATCACCTCAGGGAATTCCACATTTTCATCACTTCAGAAAAAAAAAAAAACGTTGTCTATAAGCAGTTATTCCCCTATTTCTTCTATTCCTGCTCCCAGGAAACCAGTAATATAATTTTTATTTTTAAAATTGTTTCTTATAAATGGTGGTTGTATCCTATAAATGGAATCGTATAAAATGTGGCCTTTTGTGCCTGACTTTTTTCACTCACATGCTCTTAAGAATCACTCAAGTTTTAGTATTTAGTACTTCATTCCATTTTATGGCTGAATAATATTCCACTGTGTTATGTATGCCACATTTTGCATAAACAAAATTCCTCAGTAATGGACATTTAGGTTATTTCCACTTAAAAGTTACCATAATACTATTATAAACACTAACGTACACACTTATATGTTTTCAATTCTCTTGGGAATGATCCTCACAGTATATGACCCAGGACCTTCTGGGTCACACAGTGACTCTAGATTTAACTTTATGAGGAATAGGAAGGCCGTTTTCCAAAGATGCCCCATCTTTTTATATTTCCAACAGCTATTAGGATTTAATGTCTCCTTTCTCATCAACATTGGGTAGTGCCCATTTTTAAGTTACAGTCTTCCCAATAAGTTTGAGGGGCGTCTCACTGCAGTTTACATTTCCTAATATTGTTGAACACCTCTTCATGTACTTATTAGTGACTTGTATATATTTTTGGAGTAATTGTTTGTCCACTTCTTATTTGGGTTTTCTTTAATTCTGTCATTCGGTTAAAAATTATTATTATTGGGCTGACACTTTATTTCACTCTAACGCTCTAACACTGCAGTGTGAAAACAACCTTAGACAACACGTAAATGAAATGGCTATGTTCCAGGACTATTGTGAGAGCAGATGATGAGTTAGACTTGGCCCTCTGGACATGAATGGCTGAACCATGCTCTAAGATATTAATTCCTTGATGTTGTGAGCTTCCCTTTGTAGCCTCACACACCTGATTGGCTTTTATAAATGTCCTAAATGTTGAAACAAAGTGCATCAATATTAATGTTTGGCGGTATAGGCTGCCCAAAGAATCAATCTTTCTTTCTTTCTTTCTTTCTTTCTTTCTTTCTTTCTTTCTTTCTTTCTTTCTTTCTTTTGCTTTTTGGGTCACACTCGGCAATGCACAGGGGTTTCTCCTGGCTCTGCACTCAGGAATTACCTCTGGCGGTGCTCAGGGGACCATATGGGATGCTGGGAATCGAACCCGGGTTGGCCGTGTGCACGGCAAACACCCTACCCGCTGTGCTATTGCTCCAGTCCCAGAATCTACTTTAAAGAAATTTTAATTCTTTATTATGTTTGTTATGAGAAAAATTCTTTAAATAACCTTAAAAATTGAGATTGTGCACTGACATCATTTTTACTTTTTTTTCCCCCTTTTTGGGTTATACCCGGCGATGCACGAGAGTTACTCCTGGTTCATGCACTCAGGAATTACTCCAATTATTTTTGGTTGTGTTCAGGGGACTATATAGAATGCCAGGGATAGAACTCATATTGACTATGTGCAAGGCAAATGCACTACCCAATGTACTAGCTCTTTGGTTCCATTATTGTTTTATATTTTTAGTAATTCAACAGGTGTTCTATGAATAAATTGTATTTCTTACAACAAACGATAAATAAATGAATAAATAAATAAAAGCCCTCCAGGGTCAGGAAAGTAGTTCGAAGGGCTGAAGCAGATGATTTGCATGTGGGAGGCCCAGCTTCCATCCAGAGCATCTTTTGTCCCCTGACCACCTCTCAGAGTGACCCCCAAGAACAGAGTGGAAGTAGTCATTGAGTACTATTAAATGTGGCTCCCCCAAAAGAAAGAAAGGAAGAGAGAAAGAAAGAAAGAAAGAAAGAAAGAAAGAAAGAAAGAAAGAAAATATACATACATACATACATGCATAGATATACAAGCAAGCTTTGCAATGGTCATAATATTGAGATTCAGTATTTTTTATTCTATATGAAATAGTTATTGTAAATTGAAAATTTTAAGAAGATTTTGAGATAATTCACATGAAGTTGTAAGAAATAACACTGGACACCCACATCCCACCACTGACTCCATGTAAGCTCATCTACTGGCCCTGTTCCAGAGACTCATAAATAAATCTTGAAAGAGATTGACTAGTCCCAGCTGAGACTTCTGAGCAATCTCAGGGAGGGGGTTGGGCAAAGTTCTCACCCTACCAACAGCTTCCACCATGCCTCTGGCCAAACTGCCCCATTAAATACTCTCGGTTTTCTGGAGAGACATCATCTAACTCTATAATACTAACATCTCAGTAGGAGCACACCAGATTGAAAGGGAATATAAAGTAGAAGCCAAGTAATCTCGACTAACAAGAACATTAACACAGGGACTGGAGTGATAGTACAGTGGGTAGGGCGTTTGCCTTGCATGTGGCTGATCCAGGTTTGATTTCTGGCATCCCATATGGTTCCCCTAGGACGGCCAGGAGTAATTCCTGAGTGCAGAGCCAGAAGTAATCCCTGAGCATCACTGAGTGTGACCCCAAAAAGCAAAAAAAAAAAAAAATAATAAAGAAGAAGAAGAAGAACATTAACACAAAAGGCTTAACATTTGAAAACAATCTAGTCTATGCCTAGCAAAAATTTTTCCACTTTGACAGAAATTGCATTAAACCAATACATCAATCTTGGATAGTTACTATGTCTTACAATCCATGTACATGATCAGTAATGTAAAATTTTCAGTGTGAAACACCGTAGATTTTCAGCATACAATGAAATAATTCCATTTTTGAGTGATTATAAACAGCACTATAAGGTTTTCATTTCTTCATGATCAAAACGTAAGAAATCTTCATGTGTTTGTCTTATATTCACCTCATTTTTGTCAACTCATTTATTAGTTCTAGAAGGTGTTTGTTGTAGTTTCTTTGACAAACATCATTCGCAAATAGGAACAGTTATTTTGTTCTTCCTTGTAAGTCCTGTGGCTTTAATTTTCTTTTCATGCCTCACTGAAGTAGCTGTAACTTTCAGAACTGTGTTAAGTAAGAGCAGGAGAGTCAATCCCCTGACCTTGCTCCTGAGGGTGGGAGAAGCCCGCAGTCCTCCATCTTCCAGTATTATGGAAGGTCTGGGGCTATTTGGTAGATACTATTTATTAAATTAAATAACTCCTTGCTAATCCTAAATCTTGAGGTGTTGTTGCTTTTTATTTAAAGCATAAGGAAATGTGAGATGTTATCAGGTGCTGTTTTTGGTGCCAACCAATAAGGTCATAGGACTTTTCCCTTCTGCGTTGTTGCTATGGTTAAGTTATACATTTTCAAAAGTTGAATCAGCCTTGCATACTTGTATAATTGCTTTCATATGTTGTTGGTTTCAAATTGCTAATATTTTGTTGAGAGTTATACATAAATGCAATTAGGCTTTAGGTGTGTCTGTTATAAATAGTAAATAGCTTGGTGACTGGAGAGATAGTATAGTGGGTAGAGCTTTGCAGGAAGTCAACCCAGGTTTAGTCCCTGGCACTCTATATGGTGCCCCCACCAAACCCTGTCAGGGTGATCCCTGAGCACAGAGCTGGGAGTAAGCCCTGAGC